GAACATATGGGAAACGGAGCGAGGTGAAGCCACATTGGCAGGAAATTAGCTAAACTCCATTCATGCTTAGTTGTACATGTAATTTAATCCATAAATAACTAATACGAAGAGGTTCACAATTTAGATTTTTGTAAAGGAAGAAAGGAAATGTTAACTTCTTATGCTCCTGCATTTAGACACAATATTTAAACTATAAGGGAGATGGGGAGATGTTACAAAAAGGTTGGTGAGGCAAATTATTGTGTGTGCAAATTATAAAATGCTAACTGTGGAATAAAGGAATAAAATCAAAAGCTTTTAAATGTATTTACACATTCAATAATATTTTATCACTTTTATTTGTATTCACTTTACTACTTGCAAATGTAGAACAGTTTGTTGTATTTAGTCACCTGGTAGAGGAGATGTAGGAGGTGAATACTGTGATGGGTGATGAATAAGCTGGTCTGTGTACTGGAGATCAAAAAACAAAACAATATTAGACTTTCCAAAGAACAAAAGAAGAATCCGGCAGAAAAAATAAGTAAGTATCACATTCATGTCAAATAAATGTCAGGTTATTAGGCCAATGTTATCACAGTTTAGGTTTTTCTCCCAGACAAAATGTCTCAACATAATGTGCCACGCACAGGTGGCTTTCTACTTTATTTCTAATCTAACGGGATATCTTACTCATGCAGAGGAAACAAAAAACACAGAGGGAATGATTACGCTGTCATTTAATCACAAACACAAAAGAGAACTTCCCTCACAGGCATGTAGGTTATAAACCGTTATGGACACAAAAACAGATTGCTCTATTTTTCTTGGAAATGTTTACATCATTTACACGCCATGAATTGAATTCATTGCACCCTATGAAATGTTCACACACTCTCACATGTACTGCAGTGAACTTATGTGCAAGGGGTCGTTCACATTAAACCACACAAACAACCAAAGGCCATTCACGTGAAGCTCACTTACACACATTCAAACACTACAATGTATAATGAACTGACAAAACACACGCCTGTACATACAATATGTGCAGTGACACTTACTGGGTTGCATGACTGGGGGGGTATGGCGCAGTTGCAGTGGTCACAGATTTCATCCAAGTTCTCAATCCAGTCGCTGTCTGAATAGTCCGAACTGCAGTTGCAGCCCATTTTTCTGGAATTAAGAGGTTTAATTAAAGCATTATGGGCATTAGGGTTCATAAAAGAATGTCCATACATTTTTTTATGGCGTGTGAAAGTATTTTCTTTTTTTGTGCGGCGTCTGATATAGCTTTCATGTCTCTTAAATTCCTTAAGAGACATGAAAGCTATATCAGACGTCTCGCATACCAATCCAAGACCGTTTACAGTTTGCGATGCATTTTAAAAGATAGATGTCAAATTTGGTTTGGAAAAAAATTAACTAAATGAACTAAAATTGCGTTGCAGTGGACAGAAAACAAAAACTGTCATACTGTTATCGGATGTGATTAGGGCCTCGCCTCAAAATGGAGACTTAGTGCTGGAAACAAAGGGCCTAACACATGTGAAAGCTTTATCTGTAGGCACTGTTTCGACACTATAAACCTGCAAATAAAATCACATCCAGCACTGTGACAAACAGCTACATTGTTACTTCCTATTATTGCAAGTGTGTGGACATGTTCTAATTCTACCTCAAGCACTATGAAATTCTAAAAGATACTAATCTTGTATAATCCAGCATGGGGTGCTCTGTATTTTGTTTTACACTGGTGCACTGTATGAGCTGGCTTTCTTAAGCTCACTTGGCTCCCAGCGGGCCGCTCATGGAACAGGGTCAGTGGGCTAAACGCAGCCCAAAGGCTCAGAGCCGTGAGAACAATCTGGAGAGGTCTGACCCGCCAACAGCACAACACTGCACTGAGAGCCTGAGGAGCGATCACTTTGACCTATGAGGAGTTTTCTAGGTTTTTTTCTCAATTATCAGCACTCCTACGCATTCTGGCCAGTACTCACAGAGTCACACAAAGTCAGCATTTTCCATTCAGGGGCTACCCTCTTTTTTTATGATCTGAAGGCCTTGGCAAACAAATACTGATTGTTATTGTTTGCAGAGTATCATGAAGAAACTCTGTTAGTCTGAATAATGACCTGATACATGTTGACATTGTAAGTGAAGCATGTAGGATAATAACCACACCTTTAAAAACAAAACATTATGAACATAAACAAATAAACTAGATTTAAAAATGTAACGAAATATCAACACAAATATTTATTTTATGAGATTTTTATGTTGATGCAGCTCTGTTCCAATTCCAACATTTCACATTTTATTCGTTTTTTGTACTTCATAGTCTAGTCTTCATCACCTACATTGTGTCTCTCGTATTCACAGTTTGTGTGACAGCTTTCAACTTACAAATACGTCTAAAGAACATTTAACTTTAATATTAAACTGCATGCATGTTTTATTTGAAAGAGAAGGCATCTTTTGTTTGTACGTTGTTCCTTTTATCATAGTGATTTTTATCGACAGTGCTAATGAAATATTTTTGTATACACATTAATTTAGAACCAGGCAACAAAAACATAGTGAGTGTAGCTATAGGGACATAACTCTGGCTTTGACATAATTTTTCTCTATTTTCCATTACATTAAATTACATTAAAGACAAAACGAATCTGCAAACTCTAAACATCCTGTCTGATTTATGTATCACTTGTCATGTAACACATGATAACTAAAGACAAATGATCACTTTTAGTTTATTCATTTTTCTTTCTCTACATTTTAAAACTATACGACAACGATAGAATCTAAGTATGACACTTACCTTTTGAAATATGAAATGTCTCTTCAAATGTGCAATATCAGATATCACGTGCCTCCATAAAGCTACTTTTTAAATATTTCTCTTTTGTAAAGAAAAGTCTATTTAGCAGTAAGGTAGTTTTTCACAACGGGTGTGAAGATGTCATCATCCGCTTCTCTTATAGTCACTAACTGAATGTGCGAACACACACCTTGGAGTGACAGCAGAGTTTCCTGTCGTTGAAAGGTTGAGGGTTGCTCTGCAGGCTTCTTCTATAACAGGTGCTTCAACTTGCAGCTGTGTGCGAGCAGTTAAAGGCTCCATGGTAAAGGGGTCAGGACAGCACCTTTCCCAAAGATGTTTCCAACACAGTTTTAAAAAAGGAGGCTATATGTGAGACAGTGGTTCAGTTATATATTCGACTTTTGTGTGTATCATCTGTAGATCTGTGACCTTTAAGGTGAAGTGATGCAGGGTTATTCAAGAGAACCTGCTATGAAAGATTGTAATTAATAATATACATGATATAATAATATACGAACAGTATCAGATTGATTATAAATAATTATAATAAACAATGTACCAGATAAATCACCAATTTGGCGAATGGGGACAGTTGTGTTTCCTGTGTTGTAGTGTCAGACGACAGGTTAAGTATCAAGTAAACAAGTCTATTTTGTCAATTACACATGTGGTTTGTGTCTCAGTGTGGCCAGCGAACCATTTTAAAAATAGACTTTGGCCTTGGTTTTCAATGACAATCAAATAGGAAAATTATAGACAACATGAGTCACAAACATCTCACTTGCAGAGAGGCAAAAAAAACAAATGTCAGTGTAAACTAATCATCATGTTTAAACCATTGCTACTCGGAGAATGATCACGTTCAGCCCTGCATGTAAAGTTCTAAATCTTTCTCTGCTGCAGGCCGCTTCTCTTCTCTTGTGGTGAGCTGCTGCTGCAACAGAGCTCGCGCTGGCAGGAAGTCGGTCCAAACCTTCCAGGAAGTGCACAGACGTCTGCGTAGAACACTGCCACAGCATAGATTAACACGAAACCACCTGAGTTGACTCTTTTTCCATTAGGGCACAGAACAGTGAGAGTGTAACTCTAGAAGGGATAATTAAGTCTTTTACTGAGCTGATTTATGTGGTATTATCTGTTTCTGAATGCAGAATCCAACCTGGCACACATTCTCCATAAATAAGATGAATGCTGGCACATTTACTACAAAAAACCTCACCATATTTGGAGATCAGCTTTTGCCGGGCCTTGTGAGGCTTTAAGGGTATTCCTAGTTTCCCTTCGACCACAGCTGTTGCTACTTCTAAATGTGGTTGGAAATCACATTCTGTTACGCAATCAAATCGAGATACTATCAATATGCAAAAAGGTTTTCCAACACTCCTACTGACATACTTCACTGTGCAGGTGCTGCCCATTTTTTTTGCTGCTAACTCACTCAGTCAGTCTTAACCAATTAAAAAAACATATATTCTTAAGTTTGTTTCGTCTCTAGTTCCAGCTTCTTCAACATATGATCATGTGGTATGATATGGTTAAAGGGTCAAGTGAAACTATCTACAGGGCAGAGCTGAGGGGCATGAGAAACACAACTCTGCAGAGCTTTGTTGTAAAAGCATTCACTAAAGAATGAGGCCTCAAGATGAACTTCGGCCTCTTTGCATCTTTCATATAATATTAATGATGTCACACAAGAGGTAATCCGTGTCCTGAGGTAGAAGTATGCCGCTTTGTAATCATGTCAACAGTCCTCATTTCAGACAGTGCGCACTATGGCAAGGCATATTTGGTTTCTTGTTTGACTAATTAAGTCCAACACTGCCTGTGTTTCTGCTCATCCCTCCGGGGCCCCACACTTATGTTTGGAAATTACAGCAGGTCATGAATGTCTCGTGGCAGGAAACAAGAGACTTTTGTGCAGGGTGGCTTTAGGATGAAGGATGGATCCCATGGAGGATGTAGTGGCAGTTAGGCTGGGAAATATGGATAAATGGTATAGGCAGATGCACAAAACAGCTCAAAGTCTAAGCAGGTAATATTTCACGTTTTTAATGCTAATACAATACAATCTTCAAGTCAAATATATATAGTACAGTCTCATTAATTTTCTGCTGTTTGTTCAAGAAAAACATTTACATTTTAAGGCACTTATTTTTATAATCATTTGTCAAATACATACATTTATATTACAGTAGCATATTTTTTACAATAATGCAGTTTCTTTTTTTTTTTTACATCTAACAAAGTAAGAACCAATGTCAAATATCACTCAATAAAAACATCTTCCTACTTGCTAGCTAATGATATTAAGCTATAATCGGCATTCAACTTTGAGCCGCAGAATACACTTGGTCACCAGCCATATATAGTAATGGAAAACAAAATGCTTTAGGCACAGCCCCCTGCGTCCTGTCGCTGCAGTGGTGAGGCTATGGAGATATGTTTGTGAAGAAGAGGCGTAGAAATGCTGGAGAGTGACCTCCAGCTTCCTTTGAGGATAGTAGTGAGGAGGACAGTAGTATGAAGGCTTTACCAGCTGGAATAAGTTGCTGGATTACAGTACTCCTTTTAAATGTGTACATAAGCAATGCTGATCATTTATTTTACGTGACCAGAGGTTCCTCCTTCTTACTTTTCTTATTTCAGTCCACTCCACATTTAACAGTAATCCAAAGTGTTCCCAACCTTTTGGGCATTAAACATTTAAAAATGATCACATAGGAAAAACTGTATGGAAGTGCACATTTTTTGATAAAACTATAATTATCTGAAAAAACAAATGTTTTGCACTCTTGAGGTTCTTTTTACATTTGCGATAAAAGAGTTGATAGTATATTAAAATGCCTTGGCTGAATAAATTCCGTAAATATTTAACTTACGTGACATATTAGCTGTTATGCTCTTGGTATATTTTTTTCTTTTCTTCCATACATCATGAAACGAGGCACTACCAGCTCAAATGAAATACTTATAGAATTCCTGATGATCTGTCCCCATTTTTAAGTGAATTGGCCATAGCCATTTTGCATCCTACTTTTCTTCTCTGTTTATGGACATTTAATAACCATGAATTGAGTGTAGCCTATAGTGCTACAAAACTACTCTTTGTGTAGCAGTTGATCTGCTCAAAGCTTGTTAAACACGAATATAATCAGTGAAATGTAATCAGTAATTTATTTATTTTTCCTATCCAGTTAATTGCCTCACAATATCTAAAACAAAATACGGTACCCCTGTCTTGGCACCAACCCCTATTTTGGGAACCACTGATGTAAAGTAAGCTGACCTCTCTAAATCTACTGTGACCATGAAGCTGCTTTTCTGAAGGGAGATTGTTCTTCTGACAATCTTTCAGCATCTCTCCCGTGGGTAAATGGTGCCCTTCCATATCTACCTTCACATTAACAAGCCTTCTTGTTATATCCGATTAACATGACATGTGCAAAGAACAGTGAACAGTAGAGCAGCTGAAGCTCTCTAACAGGAAGGTGTGTCTGTATTAAGTGGGTGTGCCCCTACAGGTCTCCACACTGAGACTTTCTCATGCATGTCAAGCCAAGGTGCACAGTCATGTTCATTCCCACCCACCAATTGGAGGAAATAAGCCTAATATGTAGCCAACACAAACACAGAGGAAGCCATGGGAACATCCTCAGAAACACAAATGAGGGTTTTTAACAGAGTGAGAAACGTCTGGAGTTGATGTTCATCTTGGTGAGGCCCAGGTGTTTGAGGGGGCCGGACAGGGAAAAGGCTGCCTTCATGGGGATGTCACACAGCAGGTCCGACTCCTCGCCACACTCCTCCAGCTCGTACGTGGCATCGTCCAGCATCTCCTTATGGCGGCCACACACCTGCTCCACTTTCAGCCGGTGGATCTCCACACGCAGACGGATCAGCTGACGGGCCAGGCGGTTGTCCTGAACCTGCATCTCCCTCTGTGTGAGGAGGCAGAGAGGGGGAGGCAGAGAGGTTAAAGTGATCATCAGTAAGGTATAGGAATGTGGAAGCTGTGATTTGGATAGCTCTTCTCATTGATCTTCTTATCAAGGTGTGTAAATCACTGGCATGTAGAGCATACGGGCTGGAGCCTGTGAGAAAACACACATCGCTGCACAAACTGTTTGTTCAGGCAGTGACGACTGCATGAAGTCAGTCATGTTAGCACTGATTTCAACCCTTGTGCCTCACTATAAAACAAGTTCTAATATACCAAGAGGATGAAAATGTCTGCATAAAATCCTTCCATGTAAATATATATGTAAATATTATTTCCTCTTTTACTGAGTTAAATGTTCAAACCAATTATGGTCCTGATCATATCTACCAAACAGTCATTCACTTGTAGAGGCTTAATCCAATATATGCCTTTTTGTTTGTATGATGCCACTGTTTGATTGATGTTGGTGCATTTCTATTTTGCTGTGAAGTAAACCAAAAAAATTGCATGTTTTGATAGGACAAAAATTAAAACATTGCTGTAAAATTATAAAAGTCACCATGTTGAAGCCAGCAGATGTAATAGCCAGATAAGTTGTATTTTGTTGGACGAACGCACTTATTGTAAGTCGCTATGGATAAAAGCGTCAGCTAAATGCAATGTAATGTAATGTAATGTAATGTAATGTAATGTAATGTAATGTAATGTAATGTAATATAATATAATGCTTAGTTTTATGTTTTAATGGCCAGTGGGTCAAAATGTGTGGTTTTAACTGATTTCAATAGGGAGATTTTTTGCTCTTTTCTGTCTGTATGTTTGTATTATAGAAGCTGAGGTTGAACCTCCAATATTCAAAAAGAAAAGGAAACCTTACACAGATTGCTAAAATCTATGCAATATTAACACAACCAATGGCATAAGGGTTAAGTCAGGCATTCATGCAGCAGATTTCTGACACCTGAAGAGATTGTATGTTGTTTAGAGGTGAATTAGAAAGACAGACATCTGTATTCCATATCCATATGTATGGATAGGTAACTTCGGAACTAATTTTGGTTTTTACAAAGCTGTCAACTCTTTGCAACATTGTATGCACTAAAACAAACATTATTTTAGTTAGTGAAGCAGCTATAGCCAATAACAATAATTACAATCCCAATAGTTGTACATTTGACTGTGGTTGTTAGGACACATCGTTTGTGTTTAACAAAGTGTTGTTTAAGTTGATCAGTCAAATTAGAATACCCCAATATCTTTCTAACTTTGCCAAGCTCAGTTTCAGCACAACGGAATTTGGGGAACATAGTCACTCACCAGCTCTTTCCGCAGAAACTCCAAAGCATCATCAATGGTGTCAAAGCCACAGATGTTGCGCACAACCAGCTCTGAGTTCTCATTCCTCAGGATCGTCGGCACGGAGACCTCTGTTCCTCCAGAGCCCGGTTCTGCTGCAGGGAGACCCTCCTTCCAGGGTCCGCTCTGTACCCGCTCCTGCCACTCCAGATAGGACGGTCTGCGGGTCTGCAGCTTCAGCTTCTGTGTGAGGGCTTTCACGCTGTCCAGGTCCTCCGAGTCTCCCTCCGAGGACTCAGCTCCATACTCTTTAAAATCCATCGGCTCAGTGATGAATGCAGGCTTTAGGAATCCACGTGCAGTTTGCACTCTGGGTATAAGCAGCTTGGCGATTAAAGCGCAACAGGTCTTTGCCTCCTTTATAGGGACATAAGAGGCAGTGACCGCCCATCCCGCAGGACAGGGAGGTTGGATCATTATTGTAAGGAGCACTGATCTCCTTAAACTTCATCAAGACCTTAGTGTCGCTATTTATAGCTGTGCAATCATAATTCAAAACAAATTAGACGAATTTAGAGTGACGCGTTATCCAATCCTGATGTCACTGCATCTGTTGAGTAAAGTAAGTAACACAGCAACAATAAAGTGTACTTCAATACAAGTTAAAGACATACACTCAACAAATAAAATAGAAATACAGAATCAGCACACTGTTCTGAAAATAAAGTTAAAGATGGCCTATATAATGAAGTCATATTAGTAGATCTAGATCAGTAGATCGTTTACCCTATATTCTATCTATTTTATTATTAATATTTCATGTTTAAGCTGATGGATGCAAAGCTACGTCATCCTATTTTAATATCACATCTCTGTTATTGACTTGTTTATATGTGTGTCCTGCACCATGCTTCACAGACAACTACATATTTAAACGTCTTGTATTGTACAGGCCTGTTTTGTATATAAATGTACTTTGTAACATTCACCACATGTCTTGCTGCATTTCAAAGGGAAATAATGTGCTTAGATATATTAAATATTAGGGTTTTTTCTACATCAATCTAGGTGCTCTGGTATTTTATGATGATATGATGAGAAAAAAAACGACCAAAAGAGTGCAAATGAGTTTAATGTAGCTCCACTCACATACTAAAACAGCCAATATGTTGTATATCCTTCCAAGTGGGACATTCTGCATATGAGCTCTCTACTTTTAATACTTAAGATGCTGTACTTCCTCGAGCCAGAGATCAATTGCTTAAAATTACAGCAACATACAAACAGAAGAGAAATAAAGTGCATTATAAGTAGGGATGGGTATCGTTTGAAATTTATCGATTCCGATTTCGATTCCGGTTCTGCTTATCGATTCCGGTTCTTATCGATTCCCCGTTTCGATTCCAAAATTGTAAAATAAAGAGGTCAAACGTTTAGATAACAAAAATATATTTATTCTTAAAAGCTTTAACTGAAATTGTTACTAAAAAATATACATGCAATACAAATGTATTGCACAATAGCTGTGCTTTATTTTAACTGAGCTATGCCTGTGGCAAGCTATTAACAGGCATTACACTTTGCCTTTTCTTTTTATTTTTTAGTGTAGTGGAGCCTCACTTCAGAGAGTTTACCGCGACCTATCTTTGGTGTTATGAAGTGACTGAGCTCGTGAAATGTCTACGGGAGGGCGGGGGAGCATCGCTGCGGGGCAACTGTGGACCTCTGTCGCCTGTCAGCGCAATTTATATGATGCCGTTTAAAAAAATGAAGGGCGGTGCCGGCCGTCAGCGTACCGAGCCGGCAGTCAACGGCCCGCTGACGACCGGCCGTTCTGTGATTCTCCAGGTCCGCCCTGTATTCCACCGGGTCACCGCAGCACCGCGGTGCAGACGGACCCGCTGGAATACAGGGTCTACCGCGTTTAGGAACCGTTAAGCAGAACCGAAATTGTGTATTTTGTATGGGTACCCGGTACCCGGCATTTTCTTATCGGTTCTCATCTGGAACCGAGTTTCGGTTCCCAACCCTAATTATAAGTTACTGTATGTACACCAATTCCAATAGAATAGCAAGTAAGATAAATTAAGTACAATTAAAAAAAAATGAATATAAATGATACGGAAATTAATAATACTTGGATATATAAGTGTTTTTTTTGTGATATAAAAAAATTAAGCTAAATAAAAACTGAAACCCTTCTTCACCCTGTTGTGATGTAAGCTTTAACTGCTATAACAACTTTCTGAGTATGAGTGTGCTGCCACCTACTGGCCATGTCTGACATAACATGCATATCTGAATCAGTATATCTTATTTTTCCCGCGTGAAATTGGGTGTTGTGTTAAATGCTCAATTTAAGATGAATAAAATAAAAATATATATATTCTGAAAACATTTTTAAACAAATATTTGTATAAACATAAGTTTATGGGCTCAGAACAGTCTCATAATACACACATGCACAAGTGTGAAATACAAGTGTGAATCCTTCTGTGTGCATGTGTATTATGAGACTGTTCTGAGCCCATAGTATAATGCGTGGCCTTTATTACGATGTCTCTCTCTTTCACTGTGCAGAGCTTTTACAGCAAGATGTGTCACATCCAGTCACATCTTCGTGCTGCTGTTTCTCAGGAAATGTGCACTTCCGTCTTCTGTGGCCTCGAGCTACACCGTCTCGTGCTCAGCAGCCACCTGCGTAAGAATAGGTGTAGCAACATTAAGGCCTGGCTATGTTCAGAACCCCCCCCCATCTATTAATAGGCCCCTTATCGTCGAACAAACAGAAAGCAACTGCTGTGTTACCCAGCCCCCTGAGTGCAGAGAGGAGGGAGCTTTCATTTTCTCACAGTGAGGCGAGGAAGTGATTTACTTGTGCATTCAGAAGTTCAGCAGCAGCGGAGAAGTTTGCATTGTGATGGAGTTTTCTGAATACATCAAGACCGCCAATGTGGAGGATGTTGTGCTTCGGCAGCCGCTCCATCCACCAGGCAGAGGCACCCTGTGCATCACTGGCCATCACCTGCTGTTTTCGGACAGGGAGGAGGGGAGCTGCCAGCAGGTTCTGCTGCTGCTCCGGAACATCGATGCTATTGAGAAGAGGTGAGGGGGCATCTTATGTTGAGCATAGCAGCATGGAATTATTAAAGTAGTATATAATTGCTTCCATTTGTTTTCCAAAAGTGCCCAAAACAACAGATTTTAATTAACAGCCTTAACGATGTAGGCTAATAGGCTAGATGTGCTTGAAAATACCAATTACAGCACTTAAAGGGGAATACGCCCATTTACAGAATTCATACGAGTTATTACTATGATTTAAGAAAATGAACAATTTCCACATAAAAAAACTAGAGCGTTGAAACTTCCATTTGTCACATTTAGAAACCAGTCTAAATGTGATGTCATTAAGTTTACAATGTAAAACTGCTCCATTGGCAATCATTTGGAGACACTGAGATCAACCACTGTTCTATATGGTTCGATTATCTGTTTCAGAATTGACAGCATTCACCTATCTACGTTATTAAAAATAACTGACATAAGTGAATTTGTAAGTTCAAGGTAGAGAAAGGAGCACACAGTATAGGTTAATAAACATTAAACATTGTTTCTATAGCTCACAGCTGATGTACTTTTACGTATTGTAAATCATGTAAAATCATGCTATAGTGCTGCTAGCATGCTTAAGTTATATAATATATAACATTTACATGGGTTTTAACTAATCAGTCCACAAAATCAGTCTCCATTTCATTGCCTAATGATCAGGTAGGGTTGCTCGATTATCGCAAAAATCATAATCTCGATTATTTGGGTCAATAATTGATATCACGATTATTAAAAACGATTATCCATTTACTTTGAAAACATCCATTTATTGAAAAAAAACATTTGAACAGTATGTTTTTAACAGTTGATTGCCATTAACTTTAAAAATAATTCTGTTACGGTGAGTGAAGCAAGCAGGACCCAAATGCAGATAACGCTGAAAATGCCTTTATTTCAAGGATAACGAAAAAATACTCGGACAAAACAGAACACTCACCGGTGAACTCAGTCACAAACAAAAAACGAACCAACACTGAACACAGGAAGAGACAAGACTAAATACAGGGAGGGGTAATCACAAGACGAGACACAGCCGGGCAGGGGAGGAGAAACATAAGGGCAACAGGTGAACACAATCAGACAACTAGACACACCAGGGAAACTAACGACAGGAGGAAAAACACAGCGAGAGGGACCAGACAATACACAAGGGAGACAGGGAGAACCGAACAGCAAAATAAACCCAAACCTAGGACATACAAAACTAAAAACGTGACATAACAAAATAATCGTGACAAATTCAACTGAAAAACCAATAAAATAAAAAAATTATGTAAAAAAATAATCGTTTTATTTCGATTATGTTTTTTTCATAATCTTTGCAAGCCAAAATCGTAATTGCGATTAAAATACGATTAATTGAGCAGCCCTATGATCAGGTACAAACTTAAGGAAATCAAAAGATGGATTTATGTTGTGTTCCTTTTAATAATAAGGTTGTATGGATCATTCTAGCAATAACTTGTTCAAGAATATACTCTAATCAACACTAACCAAATAAACTAATCATAACCTTTCCGAGAATGTTTAATTAATGTCTAATTCTTCAAATCTTTTTTAACCAGTGTGGAAAACCTTTTGACCTGCTCCGGCCTCTTCTCTAACGCAGGTCTCAGTCAAAGGTTGGACATAATGTGTGTTTCCATGCGTCTGCTGCTCTTATTTGCCCACAGTGCTCAAAGAGGACATTTGCTAACAGCAACTCTATTTTCTCATCGCCTTTTCCACACACACACACACACACACACACACACACACACACACACACACACACACACACACACACACACACACACACACACACACACACACACACACACACACACACACACACACACACACACACACACACACACACACACACACACACAATATTTTGGTGAGAAGGGGTTGCTCACTTATTGGCACTTTATATACTGACATGGACAAGTCTGGTGCAGTCAAAACATGTGGTGTTTAGTGAGAGTTGACACACAGGGGAATTTTTTTATTTGTTTTTGTTGCAAATAATCATAGCGGTGTGTGTGTGTGTGTGTGTGTTATCTGGTTAGCGGTGTGTGTAGGTTATCTGGATCTTCAGGAACGATTACCATCAAGTGTAAAGATCTTCGTGTGCTCCAGCTTGACATCCCGGGCATGGAGGAGTGTCTCAACATCGCACGCTCTATTGAGGTATAAGAAATAGTCTTAATCATACTAAGCCCCGAAACATAAATTAGGAAATCAATCATTTCTGTTTATGATAGGATCTTACATCCTTACTTTGGATACAGCGTTA